GTTGGGAGGTCCTGGGCCAGCTGTGATCACGTCTCAGTCAGATGCTGCATCCACACAGTGAGGGGAGGAGAGGTCAAGGCATGCCGTGGTCACCTGAGCAAAGGGGAAAGGAGAGGCTTAGAGCAAATTCCATGCGAGGTGCATGCGTCACGTGAGTCATGGAGCAAAGAGATTGGTATCAGAGAGCAGGCTCTCTGCTCAAATGCGAGCGAAAGGTGGTTGGACAGCAAGATTCAGAGGGGGGGAGGCGCACCACAAAGCATCTTCTGTGGTCTCACAGGCAGTGGAAATAGCAAAGGCTTTTCATATGTGTTTGCCATCCAAGATCGATGCTTCTTGGGGCAGGGGGTGGAGGATGTTTCTAGAAGCCACCAGAAAGCTTCTGGTAACTGAGGAAAAGCAGAATTTTGTACAGTGAACTGTCTCACCACACCTGCACAGGCACAGGTGAGAGGGTGTCATGGTCTGCATTTGTCAGGTGTCTGGGTGTAAGTTCGGGTCACGTAATGAGTATTAGCAGGAGCTGGAATTTGAGCCTGTCTGGCTTTGCAGTCTGAGCTCTCTTCTCTGGCCCTTGTACCCAGGGCCACATCTGAAAGGCCTATGCTGTCCTGCTTGCCACAGGGGCCGAAGCCCTTCAGAACTTGTGAGCAATGAAGCTAGTGTTGGGCGGAACTGCTGTTTGTAGCCAGCTTCCCCTCAGGCCATCCTTGCTCGGCTGCCCTGACTGGGGCTTTGGTCCTATAGAACTCCGGGCCTCTGAGTGCAGTCACTGCCTGTCCTCTTGCCTGTTGAGAACTTTGCCGGTGATACAGTGCTGGTAAAGCTCTCTGGAGACACTTTTGCCATTCCCCTCAGCAGACATGTCCCCGCTTCTGGGTCCGCGTGGCAGACAGTTCCGGGACCCATCATGCCTGCCCTGTGTTGGAGCTGCTTATTTAGCTGTGTCCCCTGCAGGCCACCGGCTCCCAGGGGCCAGGCTGCAGCTTTCTCCTCAGCCCCTGGGGCTAAGGACAGTGCTGTTCCTGCCCTCAGGAACTCCTCTGAGCCGAGCTGGGGTCAGTTGGTCTTACTGCATCCCGAATGAATCCCGGCCACTGGGAGTTCGCTTAGGGACCTCCCTGTCTTGACTCTTAGGGGCCTTGGAGTGTCACGGGATGAAATCCTCTGCTGACGTCTTTATGGTCTGTGTCACCTGTCACTCGGAAGGAGAGAGTGATTAAATTGGCCCAGCGAGCCTGGCTCTTCACAATGCTTTGCTGATGGCTCTAGCCACTGTCTGTCCTGCTGCCAGTGTCCCCTCTCCTCGGTCCCCACTCCCTGGGTGGTGGGATGCTGGCATAGAAGGATGCTGCTTTGCATCGCGTTTATCCTTTTTGTTTTTCCTTTAAGCACCAATATTGTGGTTTCCATTTGCAAACCCTGGGAGTTGGCTGGCTTCAGGATGTTGGCAGCCGTGCCCTCAGGCTGGCTCTGTGGCACCTGTCAGCCTCCTGGATCCGTCATGTGCCCTTGTAGAGCTGGGGACGACTTCTGCCCAGGCCTTACCGCCCTCTCTCCTTCCAACCTCCTCAGGATCCTGTATCCTTGATCAAAAGCTGCTACTTTCTAGAAAGCTGACTCTGTTTTTAAGTGTTGGTTCGCTTCAAGGATGGTTTATTTCTGATTGTTAAATTTGATTGGGCTTCGCTGTTATTGTTACGTATAGGGAGGAGTTCAAGTGAGTTTCAGAGAAAAAAGCACTTCAATTTAATTTGCAACAAAGTGTGTGGCTAATTAATGCTCAGCAGCACACTGTGAAACTCGCAAGGTATCAAGCAAACATGGTCTCTGCTTGAACTTGTGTTAGTAAACTGAACATCGGTATTACAGGAACACAATCTATTAGTAAGCTGAACACTTTTTTTTTGGTTTTGTTTTCTTGGTTCACCTTGTTAAGCAGGAAAATAATCCTTGCGGCTTTATAAAGCTCACGTACGTGCGTGTAGGCGCCATTTTGGAAATGAACTCCATAAATGCATAAATGAAGGCAGATGTCAGGCATTTAATTGGCCTTCCTGTCCCAGCTGGCCCTGTGAGACTTGGAAACTCTGTCAAAGACGATCACTCACCCCGATAGGAGACTGACACAGTGAGTTAGTGCCGTTGAGTTTTGGAGAGAAGCAGCCGACTGCCTCATGCCCCGCAGCTCAGTATTCTCAGTTTTCTCCCTATGGCTGTCAGAGTGGGGGAAGGAGAAAGAAGGCTCGGGTGCCTCACCCGCGTGGTCCGCAAACGTTGCTTGAAATCTCGAGCCCCGTGCTGAGCGTTCCATTGAGCTTTGTGGGTTTCTTTTCTCCCTTTTTAATAATTGTATGAAAAAGCATCAAATCTCATAGCAAAATATAAGAGAATAACAGTTGTTATACACTGTGTATCGTTATCCTTCAAGTAGTTACTCAGAGACAGAAATGAGTTTTACAAGGTGTTTATAAAGGAACTGAAAAACAGTAACTTTGGTATTCAAAATGTAATAGTCAAGTGAGGAAAGGGGTTGCTGAGCTGAGAGAAGGAGGCTGAGGCTCTGGTGGGCCCACAGGGATGGATCGTGAGGGAGACTGAGGCAGGCAGACAGATGGGAGGCTATCTCTGCCCTCCTGGAGATGACCACAGGCAGAAGTCATCTGCCTTCATCTGAAGGAAGAGCAGGAGGATGGAGAGGAGGGGAGGGCATCACTTCACTGAGGAAGACCCTGAGCATCTGCCTTGCGCCAGCGCGGTGCCAGGTGTTGTGCTAACGCAGAACTGCCCGGCAGGCTCTGGTGACAGATTTGGGTGTTTCAGTGGAAAATCTGCACCTTGGGTGACTGTACCCACAGTCTGAATGTCCGCGCTTCAGGACTCATGTTCAGAACTGATCCAAGGGATGTTCTGAAGTAGAACCAATGGGCCTGAGATTTAGGATTGATGCTTAAAATGTCCCCCAGAGCCTCATGCTCTCTGAGGTGGGGCTATGGGGAGAGACCAGATCACAGGTATATGATATTGAATCATGGGTTTTATAACTGGATTAGTCCATTGATTGACTTAGTTTAGCATAGTTCTGGGTGGTAGCTGAGTGGATTTACTGAGCTCAGAAGACCCACAATGGGTGTGAGCAGCACCAACCAATAATCTTGTAGCCTGAATACAATAAAAAGGGAAAGGAAGGCCGCTGCATTTTTCTGCCTGCCCTGCCAGACTGTTTCCTCATCGCTATACCCTTCTGTCGTGCTACCCTGCCTCAGAACCAACCAACTACGGCCTAAACCCTCTACAAATTTGGAGCTGAAATAAATCTTTCCCTCTTTAACTTGTGGGTATTGAATATTTCATCCCAGCAACAAGGAAGTAACCAAGACAGACTGGGAGGAGAGAGCTCCCTCCCGTTCTGCTCCTGTAAATGTTGGGCCCAGAGCATCTCATCCACAGATACCTCTACTACTCCTGCAGGAGTCCACCATTCCTAAAAGAAGAAACCCTCCCTGGCTTTTCGCATGGCTCACTGGATTTGGAGTCCCAGGGGTGGAGCCTTCCTTTGCCCCTTCCAGCTGCTAACCGTCAAATTACTTCACCGCTCTGAACTTCGGTTGTCCTTCTCAGACAAATGCTGATATTTTCCCTGTAAAAATGGGAGAAAATCATGTAAGAGAAGGCTGTCCTGAGCTTAGCAATGAGGGAATGTGCTATACACAAGAAGTAAGTGGGTCCGCTAAATTCCCTAATACTGGATTTTACTAATTATCAGAAGTTCCAAGTTGTGGCAAATGACTGGAGTTTTATAAATGTCACAGCATGAAAGCATTGCTGTCCTTACCCTTTGAATACTTCTGTCTTTGTGCATATCATATTTTTCTCAATAACATGGGGGTATATTTTGTATTGGAGTCAAATTTTTGCTGGCTGGTTGAAAGGAACAGTTAATGCTTATTTTTTTTCTTTTCCTTTTAAAATTTCTTATAACTTTTTAGAAACCGATTTTACATGCTTATATCTGGGAACCTAAAGAATTGGGGCTGGGAAGATAGTTTGGCAGTCTAAGAGCCTGCCTGGCAAGTGCAAGGACCAGAGTTTGAGCCCCAGCACCGCATGCTGTGTCGGCCCCAAAGCTGGGCGTGGTGACACATGTCTGTAATCTCAGTGCTGGGGAGATTGAAGATTGAGACAGGAGGATCACTACGAGTCTGAGCTGTGTAGTGAGATCCTGTACCAAATAAGTATCTACATCAAATTTTTAAATAAAATTTTTAAAAACATTTTTAAAAAATTAATGTGAAGATACACAATACAACAACCGTTGTTGAATTCCTATTACTTTGTTTGATGAAATTTTGTATCGTTTCTAATGTTCTGTCTCTCTCTTTCTTTCTCTCCCTCTCTCCTTTCTTTCTTTATAATTTTGTATTCTGTTTAAAATAAAGATGGGCTACCTGTCATGACCATTAATCCCGATACGTTAGCATCAGTGGATTAAGCACCGTCCGGCAGAGCAGTTCAGCGTGCTCCTGGCAGGGTCTAGGGGTGTTGTGGACGTGCAGCCTCTGGACTGCACTGTGGGCCATCTCTCGCCTGGTGCTGTCGCCCACCCCGCTTCCGGGCTGCTCCGGGGAGTCGCTTTGCTCCTTACACTCTGTTGCCATGCTGTTCTGCCTTGGGGCCAGCCGACCATGGGCTGAATTCCTTTAAACTGAATTAAACTGCGATCTCTCCCCCGCTTTTAAACTGTGGCTAAAGCACAGACATTGTGCATCAGTTGCAAGAAAGCTGAACAACACACCTATGAAACATCTGTGACCTCCCCGAGAGATGTCACTCTGCGTCCTGGTGAGTGCTCTTAGAAGCTCTAATCTAAAAATATCTCCTACTTTACCCACAGAGAATCCTTCTTTCCCACCCGCTCGGGGGCTCTGTGCTGTGGAATCTGCCCTCCGAGGCCCGTTTGCTGTGCACACACTGTTCTTTTCTCTTGCTTTTCTCTTCAGTGGTGGCTGTTTACTTAAAGGAGTCCTGGTGGTCTACAGAGGACGTGCTAAGAACGGCTGACCCTGCGAGAGAAGGCCTCCTGAAGGTGAGGCGGTGGGTTTGAGGGGAACATGGGCAAAACAGGTTTTCAAAGTCACTGTACTTGTTATCCTGTTACTAACTTCAAACTGTCTGCTCTGCCACTGGGTGTTCCTTTCCCAGGGCTGGCATCCCACTGGGTGGCTTCCATAGAGACCCTCAGCTCAGGGATCCGCAGGCTGTAGTCCAAGATCAAGCGGTTCATCACAGCTGCTTTGGAGGGTGGGGAGGAAGAATGTTCCAGGCTGTCGCACAGCTACTGGTTGCCCTTGGTGCTGCGTCTGGTGGCCCCAGTTGGTGTCCTTTATGTGTCTTCATAGATTTTTTTTCTCCCTGTACGCATCTGGCTCTGTTGAATTTTTTTCTTTTTATAAGGATACCAGACATACTGACTTGGTGGGGGGTACCGTGCTGCTCAGGAGTGGGTTTGAACACCTACAAAATCCAGGTCCATATACGGTCACGTTCAGTGGTACTGTGGGCTGAGGCATCAACATTTTTGTGGAGACGCATTTAATCCATAATGCCGTGCAAGAAGGAAACTAGAACCCCCTGCCTCCACTTAACAGCTACTCTGCTGTCCCAAGGCCACTTTCCCTGCCTGAGTAGCGGGGCGACCTTAACCGGGACCCTCTCTCTATTGCCTGGGAAAGCTCTGCCTAGAGCCCCGGCGGTGTTTATTGGTATGCGATTCTGCCCGTACTTTACCTCAGATTCTGCAGGGCTTGTCTAATTTCAGAATCCTCCAAGTGCTTCTTTTGCATGGGAAGAAACTGAAGCTGAGTCATGCCGCTAGCAAGTGGCTGGGGTGTACAAACATTTTGGAGCTCAAGCTTGGCATCTTTGAGGCACTGTCATTTTGCAGAGAAGCTGCAAAGCAGGGATCTGGGATGGTGAAGAGGAGGGGCAGGTCCAGCAGCAGCTTCTCAGAGGTCCGGGCAGAGTCCTGCTGGCTGAATGCTGGCTGGGGTAGAGGCTGAGGAGGAATGGAGGGGCCAGCCAAGATGTGGGCTCTGCCTACAGCTGATTGCTGTAAGGATGCGCCTTCTCAGCAGTCTTGAAGGGCTTTTCTACAATGATCCTTGGCTTACTTCACAGTATCCAGTACATACTAACTGGAAAATCAGCATTTGCTCAGGTTCAGTTTGAAGAAGTTCACGATCCGGTTTCTTCCATCAGATAAATGACTTTCACTTTTATTTTATCCCCCCATCCTAATATTGAGAAAACTTGTAAATGCTAGGTAGGCACACTACCACAGAATTACAGCCCAAGTCCTTTGGATTAATTAATTAATTGTGCTAGAGATTGAACCCAGGGCCGTTGCATTGAGCTACATCCCCAGACCTTTCTTGCTTTTTTAGTTTGAGGCAAGAGACTTTCTAAGTCACGGAGCTGCACAGGCTGGTCTAGAACTGAAGTCCTGCCTCTGGCCTCACCCTCACCAAGTGCACACTCTGGTTCTGAGACGGTGTCTTGCCAGGTTGCCCTGGTTTGCCTCAACCTTGATGTCTTTCTGCCTCAGCCTCCCAAATAGCTGCAATTATGGGCCTCTGCCACATTTGGCCAGTTTAATCTTTAAAGCAGCAGTTTAATCGAGATGTAATTCACATATCACAACTTTCATTCTTTTAAAGGGTACGAGTCGGTGGCTTGGGTGTATTCACAATGTTGAATATTCCTCATCACTATCTCCAGGCTTTTTTCATCATTGCAAAAGGAACCCTGGATCTCTGGGAAGGTGCCTGTCATTCTCTTTCCCCAGGCTTGGCGAGCACTCACTGACTTTCTCTTGTATGGTGTTGTCTAGTCAGGACATTTCCTCTAAGTAGAGTCTTATAATTGGTAGCTTTTTGTGACAAGCTTCTTTATGGAGCAGTTTTTGAAGGGACATCTACGCTGGAACCTCTATCAATGCTTCATAACTTTTTTGGAGGCTGAATTATGTCCATTGTAGACATATGTTATGATGGACTTCTGAGTTGTTTCTATTTTTTAGTTATTTCGAATAACGGTTCGATGAGCATTTCCATATGTTTTTTGAGGCCATATGTTTCCAGTTTTCCCAGCTACATACCTGGGAATGGAGTCGCTAGTCATATGGCGACTCTGTATTTCACGTGGAGAGCCTGCCAACACGTCTTGCACAGCAGTCACACTGTGTTCGCTTCTCACCAGCACTTAATACCGTCTTTTTTTGTGTTCTCCCTCCTCATAGGTGTGAAGTGGCATCTCACTGGCGTTTCGATTTGCACCTCCCTGCTAGCCAGGGATGCCGAGTATCTTTTCATGTGCTCACTGGCCATTTATAGGTTGTCGGAAAGAGGTCTGTTGGGATCTTGGACTCATTTTTAAGTTGGATTTTTGACTTTTTACTATTGAATTGTAAGAATATTTTTCGCATATTCTAGATGCAAATCCTTTATGTGATTAGCAAGTATCTCATCTCATTCACTGGGTTGTATTTTATAAGTCCCGTCAATTCACTCCATAGATGTGATTTTGCGAAGATTTTCCCCCAAGCCAATTCAGAGTGACTTGAGATTCACAGAGGAGCTTGATGTACCCAGCAGCACAGAATGTGCGTCGATGTGTTGCTGCCCCGGCTCCCCGCTCCCAGGTGGGCCAGGAGGATGTGTAATGACTGGCTGTTCTGAATGCTCGGAAGACTCTGGTTTGCCTCTTGTATGATACTGCAGAACCAGAAGTTCAATTATTTAATTTGTCATCTCTTCTAAGTTTAAAAGAGAAACACCTCTCACTGCAGTTCCTGTGAATGTGGCCTCAATTGTGAAAGAAAAGAAACCTGAACATTATTTTCACCAAATGAACCATGTTCTAAAAGTCTATCCTGCCTTTACTGTACATGGGGATGTTTCCTTTCTTCATTTGTGGAACTTTGTCTGTACTTTTTTCTTTTAATTACATTTTTTGTTTCTTACCCAGTTATTCTTAACAAATCACCAAAAAAAAAAAAATACAACCCTTTCTTAATGTTCTCTTCATTGATATAATTAGTGATCCTAATGAGGATTAGAACTGGATCTAAGAATTATGTTTTGAGAAACATTTCTAAGTCAAAATCACATGTCACACATTTTCTTCCCTGTAATGAAATTGGCCAAATTAAGTGCAATTTCTTTTTCTCCTTTTTCTCTTGCCAGTTTTTGATTGGATATTTCCCTTCTGCCAGATGCAATCTGCTTTTCTCTTCTGACTTCCCTCTGAACCTTTTGGTTTTATAAGTTGAAAAATAGAAACTCCCACATTACACCAATCAGGTTTTGAGATTTGCTAGTTATTCTTAAAGTCTGGGCTGGCTTTGGCTGCCACTGTCTGAGATGTGGCAGCTTCTCAGGCTGGGCTGGTTAGATTTTCATAAATCTTTTCTTCTTCTAAAATTTGGCTCCAGATGAAGGTGAAATATTTTACATTCTAAGCCAATTAATAAGTTTGTTGGCACCAAACACTTTGTACCATTTGCTAGGGTGCTGTGAACTGCCTTATTTTTATAATCAGTGTGTTTGCAATATAGACAAGAGCTTCAGAGGTCACATGAGTGACAATCTTTTACTATCACCCGACGAAACTAAGGTTCAAAGAGGGTGGGTGGCTGAATGTCTCTCAGCAAATCCAGGCCAAGGTCCAGTAAGTATAAAATGATGATGGTGGTGGTGGTGATGGTTCGGGGATCAAGTATTAAATATGACATAAAGCATTAGCATTTGCATTAAAGGAAGTCACAGTTCTAATGGAAGATGAGGCAGAAGGGAATTGACTGCTGGTTGCTCTTCAGTTCGCTGGCATGGGCCTCAAAAGTCTTGCCTGTTGCTCCCTGCCTGCTTTGACAGAGCCCTTGTCCAGCTGTCTCAAGTCCTCCTTGGAACGAGGCAAGAAAATCAGTAAATGCAATCACTTACCCCCTTTGAGCTTCAGTTTCTTCATCTGTAAACCAAGATGTCCCTGGTGAATGTTGAGAATCAAATAATATTGTGTGGGTGGAAATCATAGTCAAGTTAATGGTGGGAATGATACAGTGGCCATGCAGGTACACACACACACACACACACACACACACACACAATTCATGCACACACAAGTGCCTCAAACCATGCAGGCTGTCACAACTCAGTGTTGTAAGAGTAAAACTCGACTTACCACTACTGCTGCACAAATAGATGGCTGGGTGCAGCTAGTGTGTCAAATTTTAGAAGCTGTTTGGAGGGATGCATTTGTGAGACCCAAGGGGAGAAGTTAGGCCATCAGGGACACTGAAGCGAAGATTGAGACCCGAGTCCCTTCTTGTCTCTGTTTCTCTACTTCTCGGGGGTCATGAGGTGAACGAGCTTCCTCTATAATGTGTTTCTGTCACAATCAGTGAGCTGACACAGGGCCAAAGCGACAGCTCCTGCATACCATGGACTGCAACCTCTGAAACCATAAGCTGCCCCCCAATACCCTTTTCTTTTTTTAAAATTGCTTTTTTCCTCAGGTGGCTATTTGGAAGGCTGCCTTTAGGGGGACTACGAGATCATGTTGTTCTGGTTTGGATCCAAAACCTCCTCCAAAGAGCCTGCATATTAAAGGCTTGGTCACCAGCCTCTGGTTCTATTGGAAAATGCTAGAACCTTGATGAGGCCTGGTGTCACAATGATGGAAATCTCCCTAAAAACATCCCAGGATAGCCATGCAGTGAGGAGAGGCATGGGAGGCCCTGATTCTGGGCATGTATTTGGCATCTGTGGGCAATAAAAAAATTGAGAATTTCAACAGACATAAGCATGAATTTATTTTGACTTGTGAAGGAGAATTCTTCCAACTCTGTGGTTCTGACTTTGAGCACAATTTAGTGTCCTTATTTGTGATGACTTTGCTCTGGACAAGATAGTTTAGTTTTCTAACCTAGAGCGGGGTGGTCCATGAGTCTCAGCACTGGAACTCCAATTTGTTTGTAATCTGTCACAAGCTATCAAAAATAAGTTGCTTCTGATGTAGCAATTGATCCTCCCAATTACTTTTCCTCCTCTGGGAACCAGAATTCTGGGGCCAAGACTCTGTTGCTATTAAAAATGGCAGATTGGGTTTCTTTCAGGACATATTCAGCCAGTCTGCTGAAATGGCTCACCCCGGCTACCCTCTCGAGATAACTTCCTGTTTCATTAGCTTGTGATGAACTGTGCTTTGTCAACTTCATTCCACATTTATGTCCCTGGGGACTCAGGAACTCCCTAGGCATTGTCCCCAACTCCTGGAGGCTATACTGGTGTGCTAGGTCCGTGGTGTGATGAACATCAGTGACGTGCAATGACTTACATTCTGGTTCTTGAGCAGAAAAATAGTCCTGTGACAGCAGCGCATGAACTTGGCCCCAGTTTGCTGGTCAACTTGAAGTGCAAAACTTGTCACGTCGGATTCTTTTCTCTGGTCTTACTTGACTCTTGTTCTTTCTTTCTTTTTGTTTTTTGTTTTTGTTTTTGTTTTTTCCCCTTTTCTTCCAAGGTTCAGTCCTTTGGGGAAAGGATTGTACTTTTCATTCTGAATGTCATTGTTTTTGGAAGATTGGAGAGGAGGCTGGACGACGATGACATGTTTTTTTTACCTCACTCCATGAAGGAGCAAGCTAAAATTCTGTGGACAAACGGAGCAGCTGTTGGATTTTACACAACTAAATTGAAAGGTAAGGGGCATGTCGCAGCCTGGGGTTGTCTCAGGCTCTCAGTGGGGGGTGAGGACGCTTGATGTCGTCCTGGCTCAGAGAATCCCCTCAGCATGGGGGTTACAAGCAGAGAACCTTCTTGTACAGTAAGTATCACTGAGTGGTTGTGTGAGTGAACTCAAGGCATGGATCCCATTTGCACTCTATTGTCGTCTTGCTGGCAACCGGGCTTAAAAAAGGTGCCTCTGCTTGAGTCCCAGCAGTGCTCTGTGTCCTCTAAACTACTTGTGGTAATTGAATGTGTACAGACTTTGGAAGCATGACACTTTTCCTTGTCTTTAACATTACCAATTAGCTTTCAGGCAAAATACCATGCGGATAGGTGACATGTTCAGCAGAAAACTCTGGATGCCAAGAGTCATAGACATGGCCTCAGAAGACGGGAAGCCCAGCCTTGACAACAAGGGCAGAAGGAGAGACTGCCACTTCTTTAGAGAGGCAGTGACATGCTGGAAGTGTGGGGCAAGTACCGCTGTGCCAAAGGATAGTTGTTGTTTCTTTTTTTTTTTTTTTTTTGGTGGAACTAGGGATTGAATTCAGGCCCTTGCGCTTGCCAGGGAAGCACTTATTCCACTGAGCCATCTCCCTGGCCCTTGAACCATCTCCCTGGCCCGATAGTTTTTATCTTTCAGTGTTAATAGTTTCTTCAATGTTTAAAGGCTGCCAACATCACTGAAATAGCTGTTTCCAGCACCCTTGCTTGATTCTTACAAAATTCTTAATTTTTGTAAAAATTAATTTTCTCGGGAGAGCATCACAAATGTGCTGTTATTGAAACTGAATGCTTTTCTTGGGGGATGAAAAGGCTGATTTGATTTTGAGCCCTGTTCACCCTGTGTATATGGTCAGGCCATCTAGGATGGAATAAATCTGCCCACTCTTTCTCTCATATCAGGGAGACCTGATGAGTTTTCCCCCTAAACAATTCTTCTGTTTGTTAGTTAAATCTTGTAAAAAAAAAAAAAAAGAAAAAGAAAAAAAGTCTTGTCAAGGTCAGGACTAGGGACTTCAGCACGTAGACTCTCCTCAGCTGTCCACTTGCAAGTCCCGGACTGGCCTGTGGATTCTGCCTCACCACTTGATTTTTTCAAGCAGTCATGGATTTAGTTGTATTAAGTTTGTATTTTATTTTATTTTTTGGGTTGCTGGGGAGTGAATCCAGGGCCTCACATGTTCTTATTAAGCCTGTACCATCAAGCTCCACCCTGAGACCGTGCTAATTTTCGGTAGAGACCGATGGAGGTGGAGAATAATTAAAATGGAAGAGAGTCATTCTGTGCTTCCTCCTTCCTGGGAGACTCATTGATGATCATTTCTCTACCAAATAGCTGATTTTAAGTCTGTACGGGAATGGCTTATGGCGCAGACGCCCCGCTGGTAGTAGCAATATCTGCGTGTATGAGAACAGCAGGGGCCGGGCAGGGAGAGCTTGGGTTTCGCCTTGCCTGGTCTTGTCTGTCCTGGACGCAGGGATGCCAAGGCCTTCCGCTTCTGTGGAGATGAAGCGGAGAAGCCTGGCACTCTCTTAGGCTTTTATTTGATTTCAATTTAATATCTGAAAGATAGTTTATCTGATTAAAAATTATTAAATTATTAGAAACCGTTTCTTTTTCTTTAGCACTTGGAATATGTGTTTCCAGCCTTTGGCTTTCTTAATTTTGGTGAGAATTCAGCTGTTATTCTTACTTTTGTTTCCTCATATCTGCTATGATATAGAATTTTTATTTACTCTCCAAATTTCCCCTTTACCTTTGGCATATTATTATTTTTTGCAGTTGAGAGTGATGTGTTTATATCTTAGTTCATTTGTAGGGCTATGACAAAACACTTGATTAGGTAATTCATAAACAACAGAAGTTTATTTCTTAGTGCTCTGGAGGCGAAGAAAGCCAAGGTCAAGGCGCTCACACTGATCTACTCATGAATTTAGGGTCCCGTGACTACACGCCTTCTCTGTAAAGCACCATCACTTAATAACATGGCAATGAGGAGTAAGTTTCAATATGAACATTTTTTTTTTATTAAAAAAAGATTTACTTATTTCTTTGGTACAGAGTCTCACTACACAGCTTAGACTCATAGTGATCCTCCTGTTTCAGCCTCCCCAGTGCTGGGATTACAGGTGTGCACCACCACGTGGTTTGGGGCCTTGTACAGCATATGTACTGGGGATTGAACTCTGGTCCTTGCGCTTGCCAGGCCAGCGCTCAGACCACCAAGCTATCTCCCTGACCCCAGTGTGAACACTTTAGAGGACACACATAAACCATAGAAGTCCAGGAGTAATTTTTCCTTTCCTTTTTCTTTTTTGAGACTCATTGAATTTCTAGAATATGTAAATTATGCTTTCTCCAAAATTTGGAGAGTTTGGGCCATTGTTTCATGAAATACTTTCTATGCTGTTTACCCACTTCTTTCCCTGGGAGTCTAGTCATCTATGAATTGGGGTCATTTATGTTACTTTTTAGGTCTCAGATTTCATTTTACTATAAATTTTTACTTGTATTTTAATTTCAGTAGATCTATATATATTCCACCTGTCATTCATAATCTGGTGAAATGCTCTCTTCAGTATCATCTGTATTGAAATGTTATTTGTTGCTTGGCCCACCAAGAAAATTGGTTATTTTACATTTCAGTTCCAGAATCTCAATTACTGTTCATAGTTTTCAGGTTTTTGTGAGATTTCATATCCATTTATTGCTTAGCCACATGTTTTTATTTAATAATTTTATTAATTAAAATTAATAATTTTAATTCTTTGAGTGTATGTTTAAAGCTATTTGAAGTCATTATCTGCTAATGTCTATTTTAAGTCAGTTATATTGAATAGCTTTTGTTCCCAGAGTATGGATTATATTTCCAGTGTTTTGCATGCTTCATAGTTTTGGTAATTAGTCATTGCAAATATATTGCAGGAATAAAAATTGCTTTGGGTTTTCTGAGAACTTTGGATTTTGTTCTAGTGGGCATTTATCTTGCTTAGCTAAAACTACAAATTCTGGGGCTCGTGGCTGCTGATTTCTGTTCGTGTGGCTTCTTGTGGTTGCTTCCTTCACCTGGCTCTGCAGCAGCCCACAGAAACGCTCGCCAAAGCCAACTTTAGGCAGTGGTGTGGCTTATCTTCTTCTTGGGTTTCTTCTTACTTTTGCTGGTTTTGGGTTCTGTACTCTGATTCTTCAAATCATTGTGCTTCAGCCTTCTGTCACTTGAATTCCCCAAACTGAGCAACAGCTTTGGTTACACCAGATGCCAAACCCACCGATTAATTCTACATGATTCTTTCAAGAGCAGATATCTCACTGGCCTCTGACTGTTTTTTATACTGGGTCCTTCGAGGTCTTCTTCATTCATGTGTAGTAGATTAGCTATAAGCCAGGGATTTCAGGATTTTATGCTCTGAATTTGGGTCTCATTTGTTCTGTGGTTCTCATGTGGTTCCTCCTCGGATTTCTGCTACTTTTCAAGTCCTGATTTCTAGGATTTGACATATTTAGTCGGGCAGGCCATGGTTTTCCCAACCAATATTTTCTGTAGCCATAGGATTGGAATTACTCTGTATGAATAGTAAGCTGTAAATTCTCAGGTTTTACCTATTTCAGTTGCAGTTTTCTGAAATTAAATTTTCTTCTGACTTCAATGAGCTTTTCGATGTCTTTGAACATTTTTAAAAGTTTAGTTTTAATCGTTCTCATATGGGAAACGTGGCAGAACTACTTCATTCTATCACCATTATCCGAGGTGGATTCAGTTCAGGTCTGAATCACAGCACTTCACCTGGGCTTCACTTTCTCACATCGTTTAGTTGAGAGAAGAATGAGTTTACATGAATTTAAAAATGGTTGCTATTAGCAGCATGTAGTGAGTTAATTAAAATGTAATTTAGATATAGCCAGAGACAGAATTTTATTATTTTATTTATGGAATTTATTAAAATTCACTTGTATAGCTTCTGATCCCTATGATGACATACCTGAGGCAGACTACTTTATGAAGTAGAGAGGTTTGTTTACTTAGTATTGGAGGCTGAAAGTCCAAACAGTATAGTGCAGTCTCTGGTGAGGGCCTCATGGCAGATGGCAGACCATGTAGGAGAGGAAGGATCACATCTGGACTAGGAAACCAGGGGTGGCTGGGGAAGGGTCAGACTTGCTGTTTTGATGATAGTCTCTTTTGTTAATTATCAAGTAGTCTCAGTGGACCCACCAGCAAGACCTGAGGACCCCCCATTGAGCCCCACCCTTGCAAGTCCCCACTGTCACCCGTTAGCACTGCCTTGGACCAAGCTTCCAATGCACGGACGCTTGAGTCTGCATCCGGTTCACAGCATCCACCGAAGATGTGTGGGGTGACTGGCAGTGGGGAAGGACTTTAGTTCCACAGTTGCGGACATTGGCCTTGTTGCTTCAGCCTTGACTCTGTCTTTGGAGCTAGCCAGTGCTGCTTGATCGAGAAAACGGGCACAGTGTTTCACAGCTTTTCGGCAGCACAGCTTCTCCTTATTAGCTTTAGCCACGTGATTCAGAATACCTGTTAACAGAACTTGAATTTGCCTGAGCGTTATAATTTTATTTTGTGAGGAAAGCAAAAGGTACAACAAATTCAGGGCATAAACAGGACCACAGTGCCGGGTTCTGCCTACCGAAGGGACTTCAAATCCCTCCAATCTATGGTGGTTCCACTGACCTTTTAGAAAATTTGATGATGACATGAACATGATACACATTCCGTGGAAACTGTGCTTTGCATCTTGGTCTTTCCTAAGTGAGTGGTATCAGTACAATACTCTCCTGTAATGCTGGGTGACAGCCGTGAGCACCAACTCCTAGTCAACCAGGCCACCTTTGAGGGTAGCAGGTGACACCATATGCTGTGCGATGGGGCTATTATGTTTGTCAGGGTCAGTGTATAAAATGAATTCCTGCTTTATGATACTTCTAGCTTACGGTGAGTTTCCTGGG